ACACACACACACACACACACACACACACACACACACACACACACACATTTCAATAAAGCAAATAAGATGGCACCAGACCACAAAATATTTTGGAGTAATATTTTGATCAAAAGAAGAGAACATTGTTATTATACCTACAGATGATATTATTTCAGGCAACCAGAAAATGTAGACTGAATTCTTAAGAAATCTGTGCCAAGACACATATAATATCTATCGACTAACAAATGAACACTCTGTTATTACTGCTATTGGAGTGAGACAAAAGTAATTCATGTGAACTATTTTGCTAAAGATGGAAAGATTTTGTGGGCTGACCATGAACACCCAATGGTAGAAGTTATTATTTGTCCAATAACAAATGCAGATACTCAGATAAATTAAATAAGGTCAGATAGAGAACAGAAAATTCCCTTCTGAGTTTATCCTGGAAAAGCAGACACCACTGAGTTATCTAATTGAGAATAACGAACTACATGAAATCAGATTTGACCTTACCAAAACAGACAGAACATTCCACTTTGTTCAGAATCTTTGCAGTTTGTCCTGGGATGGGTTCCAGGCTAGGAAGCAACTCCTTTCAGCCACAGGATGATAAGAAAATGTATCTATTTTTCTGTTGTTAAATTTCTCTTTATGTTACACAGTGTCAACTCTGCATTCTTCTATTTCAGAGTCTGAGTGTGAGAGCTTGTCCTCGGCACTTGATGGATACTCAGGAAAGCGGATGATGATTTTTAAAATAGTTAGCATATATAAAGCATTTAGGTCAGCCAGCAAAGGATGACTGCTTTGTTATCAGTGGCACTTCAACCCTTTATAATCTTCTTGATGAAAATCCACCAGGTCTCTGCATTATCAGTGGAATTAAGTCCTGCGTAGACTAACAGGCAATAGCCTTTGTATTAGGCCCACATGCAACCAAACTTGCCTGGCTATGTCTTTTGGGCTCTTTTTTCTTTATTCACTCCTTCAACCTTTCATTAATTTATCAAATATTTATTGAGTACCCATTATGGAACAGGTGTTGTGATACATGCTGGGTTTTCAAAAACAAATAAGATACAATCCTTGCCCTCCAGGAGGATCTGATAGAAGAGACAGTGTCTACTAAGTATCACACAAGGAGAAAGGTGCTGTGAGTTCTGTAACATTGGGAGGACACAAGGGCAGAAGCACTTGACTCAGGCCTTGTTTTTCTTCTTAGTCTTTATGACCTCCTCCATTTCTTGTCTAGCAATGTCACCTGATTTTCAGGATGACTCCCAGCACTGATGTCCCCAGAGGTGCTTGCAGGCTTCCCAAACCCCCAAGTGCTGCTCTTTCATTTCCTGTGATGTATTCTCTAGCAGGCCCAATGCCTTCATGTGTCTCTGTTTCCCTGATTGGACACAAATTCATTGAAATCAAGGACTGAGTTTTCCTGAATGAATGCTCACAACTGCTAACAAAAGTAGATGCACACCACAGATGATGAATAAAGTAATCAATATTCATCAACTCTTTCAAAGCCTACATGTCAAATTAAGTTTGAGACTCAACCCAAATCCTGCTAAATGCTCACATAAACTAAATTGATGAAAACTGTTGGAGCACATGGGTTATTAGCAGTGGGTATTTGAACAAAACAGAAAGAATGGATTCTGGATTGGCAGCTAACGATTTCAGCTGTTATGAAAACTCTGCAATGTTTTATTTCATGCTCAGGGTCTCAATGTGTGTAAATATTCTCATCAGATGACATTCACATTAGCAAATTTTTGTCTTGAAAAAAAAAAAAACACCTGATACTTATTTCCCAAAGCAAATACCATTGTGATAATTTAAATTCATGATCAATTTTCTATATATTATAGTGGATTTTTACTTTTTGTTTTATTCATTTATTTAACCAAAGTTATTTTTGCCAGGATTAGTTTGCTTTTGTATAAAATTCTCAACAAAGATCTGATTTATCATTAATTTTTTTTTTTTTTTTACTATTAAACATTGTTAGGACTGGGGAGATGGCTCTCCATCCTAGAGGTTAAGAATACTGGTTACTCCTCCAGAGAAACCAGCTTTAATTCCTAGCACCCACGTGGTAGCTCAAGCCATCTGTAAGTCCAGCTCCAGGGCTCTCCTCTGAGGCTACCAGCCATGCATGTGGTACACAGACATACATGCAGCTGAAACACCCAAACATATAAGAAGTAATAAAACAACTAAAACAATGTTTTCAAAAGTGTCATTGTTGATTATACTTTTACCATGTTGTGGTTTCTTTTTGTTTTCCTCGTTTTATTAATTCTGATTTTGAACAGATAAAAGTGCTGTTAAGAATATCTCATTTTGGGCCGGGCAGATGGCTCAGAGGTTAATAAGAACACTTACTGCTCTTGTAGAGGACCCAGGTTCTGTTCCCAACACCCACATGGAGGTTCATAATTGTTTGTAAATTCAGCTCCAGGGAATCTGATGCCCTCTTCCAGCCTTGGACACCTCCAACATGGTGCACATACATACATGCAGGTAAAACAATCATATACATAAAATAATTTTTTCTTAAAAATAAAGAATATCTTCCTTCTGGAGTTTTGCATTGTATTGATAATTTCTATGAGTCTAGCATCTTTTGAATTTTTAGTCCTTAATATAATCAAAACGACTGTATCGCTCGGTCAGACTTGCGCTTCTGTGATAGTTTTCAGTTGTGAGCAGCATCAGCTATTATCTCACACAAGTCAGGTACTTCCCCATGATCTGACACAATTGTCCCTGGGACTAAAGCAGCACATTTGAGTGTCCCTGGAAAGGCAGCATCGTGTTCTGCTTCACAAGTCCTAGACATACAACATCGCCCCTCTTCCGTCATCACAGCACAGGATACTTCTGGGAGAATGGGATGCTACCACATCCTTGTTGGAAGGCAAATAATGAAGTGTGTTTCTGTACTCTACAGGAATGCCTGGTTCCTATTCCATCACTGCCATTTATGAGCTATCTGGTGTCTGACAAGTTATTAATTTATGCTCCAGGGCCCTCATTTGTTAAACAAAATTATTCAGAGGATAAATGAGTTGAACTGAGAACAGCATGTGGCAAACAAGTTAGGTTCCATTATGACTGTTGGAACAATTGCTTCTCTTTTCTCCAAAAAGCTTATATTTTTCATACCTCTACCCAGCTGGGCCTCAAATTTTCTTTTGAAAAATGGAGTTATTAAATGCCCAGAAGACCAGTTACACCAGCCTGGTACTTTTAACTACTGTACAATATTTCAACAACTGGGCTTTTCTAAATAAACTTTGATTAGACATACATTTTAGCCAATCCTCATAATTGTTGATTTTTATCCTTATAAACTTTAATACTGTACATGTAATCTCTAAGCCTCATTCTCTATGAACCTTAAATAACTTACTCAAATCTTCATAAATTGCAAAAGCTTTCTAGTCTTCTTTTCCATTCTAGGAACATCCATCCATCTTAATCTTCACCTATAAATCCCTCTTTTCTATGTTTACATCCTTCTAATGTTTCTTTTCTTTATTCCATGAGACAGAAGAGCAATAACAAGTGAATTTACTACCTCTTGTGAGAATTTTCTCCCTGTTGGAGGTGGTGAGTGAGTCATGTCCTTTCCTTTCCTTTTTATTTCTCTTTTTTTTCATTCAGTGAGTGAATGGTTGGGATGGATAAGTCAGGAACCAAGCTGTGGGAGCCCACAGAGGATTCCTAGTGGGATCTGAGCTTGCTTTACACAGCAGGGCTGCATAAGGGGATGGCTTGGTGATCAGGTGTTTGGAAGAGCCTACACTTGGCTGTGCAGTATGCTTTAATCTATCAAGGGGGGGTCTTTTGCCCCGCCCCTTATCATTGTTATAAAAATCCCTTTTGAAGAAATAAAAGGGGCTGTTGGATATTGACCCAGGTCCTCCCAAAGCTATACTGTGTTTCTGTCTGTCCCATCTCTGCTATCTTTCTATCTACAAATTCCTTATTCTTCTCTCCTCTTCATAGGAACCCTTCGAAAGGTGGGAGCTGGCCTCCCACACCAAGCAATGTGTGGGACCTCATAAGGTCCCAGTGGCAAACCAGGGTTCAATTTAATCAAAGTTCATACAGGAGAACTATGATGATATTTTATCTGTGTCCCCCAATAAAGTTTATCTGAGGATCAGAGGGAAAAGCCAGCCACTATATTAAACATAGAAGTCAGGCAATGGTAGCACATGCCTTTAATCCTATCACTCAGGAGGCAGGGATCTGTCTGGATCTCTGTGAGTTCAAGGCCACACTGGGGAACAGAGCCAGGCATGGTGACACACACCTTTAATCCCAGCACTAACCATAGAGGTCTGGAGGTCTGAACAGACAGGCAGGAAGTAGCTGGGTGGAAAGAGGAAGTGAGAGGCAGAACAGAAAGGCATACAGGCATAGATATACAGGAAGTAGCTCTCTTTGGCTGAGGATCTTCAAGTGGTGAGAACGTGGCTGGCTTCTTTCTGCTTTTCTGATCTCTCGAGTTTAACCCCAATATCTGGTTCCGGGTTTTTTATTAATAAGACTGTTTATCACTTCATCCTACAAAGAACCAATGAGTTTAACAGGCTGATTTACTGAGCATGGCTGAGGGAATTCTGACAGGAGTGTGGTGACTCAAAAGCAGCTACACTGGGAAGTCTTCACATAGCTGCTGCCCAGCCCCTGGTCTTTCCCAGCCTATATACTCTAGATCCTCCCCCAAACCACGATGATTAGGGAAGAATGTGGCTGGAAGAAAGGCTGGATACTCAGATGAGGGACCAGTAACCCTCCCTACCCCCTCATCAACAGTCAACAAGCCCAGCTGTGGTCATTTTTGTAAGCTAGGCACAGTTGATATGAAGATGGCAGTTATTTGGTTTAGGATAGTGCTGTACAACTTTACTTCAATAAAAGGAAGCTGTATAGAAACTACATACGTAAAACAATGTATTAACGTATTTAATATTACCTGAGTACATACTGTTAAACTATGAGGCTTTAAAAGCTCCCGGGTAAACCATATAGAAAACACCATGTAGTCTTTACATAGTACATAGAGTCACTACCATAATTGTGCTTTTGGTTTTAAATGACTGTATGAAGCAGATATAAAGAAACAGCAAATATATAACAAAACATTGTCAAATTGATGATTAGTACAGTGGAACTGTACTAAGGAATTCCTGTTAAAAATATGATGCTTGAGTTACTATTGAGAGATCTTTAGACAGAGGATCCTCTCTGTCTTCTTCATGGATGAGCATCCCATTAGCTGTTTTTATCACAGACATCTTAATTTCATATGACAAACAACAATATATACATCATGCATTGTTCCAAACCCGTGGGTTTTCAGTGGACAGGAGACTTGCTGTTGAGTCCAGGCGCAACCAGATGAAACAAAAGCACCTGTCTTCCTTATGGTTAACCCCACTGGGTGAGAAGAAGACCACTACCACAATTTGGGGGCCAGATTTGAAGCCAGTTTTATTAAATACTGGCCAGGACCATGGATTTGTAACCTGGGTAGAATTGGTGAGCCTTACCATTTGTTGAGTTGTGCATTGGGAACAGGAGACAGAACTGTGTATGAGACCTACATCAGGCAGAATACTCAGTTGTTGGGGGTGGGTATCTTCTGAGATCTTTGTCATGTGTGAGTGGCAGAGTAGCAGTTAGCACCCACGATTGAGGAGGATCCAACAACATAGGAGGTAGGATTTGTAAGAAATATCAAATAAAAGTTGTTTTTTTTTTTTTCAAAAATGATTTATCTCCACCACCTTGTAAGAGTTTTATGCAAATATTTTAATTCCCTTACCCAGGGAAACCTTCCTTTACCCAAAGGCTACTTCTGCACTCCAGGAATGTGTTGGCCGGGAGAAGCAACCCTTTTCTCCTTAGAGCAACTGATTCCTTTCCCCTTCCTCCTATGTTTCCTGTGTGACATTTTTTTTGGGGGGGTGGGGACTACCTAAATGAATTCAGACTGTGAAGTTGGACCCCAACCAATGGGGACAAGACAGTCACCACTGGAGTTGGAATAAAAACAAAACACACTTCTTGTCACTTTGTGTTCACTCTTCCAAGCACACTTTCTTGATCAAGAGTCAAACTTGCCTTGTCTAGATGCTTTAAAAAAAAAAGGGGGGGGCATTATTGATGGGGTTATAAAATGGGACTGTGAAACAAATGATGTGGTATGTCCTTCTGTATGCCGAGAATATGTGTTCCTTTTATTGGTCGATGAATAAAGATGCTTTGGCCTGCGGCAGGGCAGAATATAACTAGGCAGGAAAGTCAAACTGAATACAGGGAGTCGAGAGAGACACCAGCAGCTGCAGAGGAATAAGATGCCAGAGCATTACTGGTAAGCCATGGGCCATGTGGCGATACACAGATTAATAGAAATGGGTTAATTTAAAAGTAAGAGCTGGCTAGTAATAAGCCTGAGCCATTGGCCAAGCATTTATAATTAATATAAACCTGTGAGTGATTATTGACAATCTCAGGGACAGGCAGGACAGAGAAAACTTCCAGCTACAAACATGTGTGTAGAACAATGTGTGGCACAAAGTTAAAAGTGTTATGTTTTGTTGTTATTGTCTTCAGCTTGCAGTGAGTGAGTCACTCTCCAATGACTAAGAGATAATTTCCATAGAGAATGCTACAGAGACAATGTAAGGATCCTGGGGCTCTGAGGCCAACGGTGCAGCTGTCCTGTATGAAAGTAACTTAGAAAGCCAAACAAGGCCTTTGTGGACACTTAGAGTGACAATCCACAAAAGTACATGCTCCAAAAAGAAAGTCACTTTTGCTATCTGCTATGTATATAGTGCTTAAAACAATGCTTGACACACCTCAGGCAAGTCTGTGGGTTTTTGATGAGTAAATGGATGAGTTTGAAGACTGGTAACATTGGAAGTGTCTCTTGCATGGTATCAAGTCAAGCAAGAGATGAAGTCAGCTTGGAATGGTGGTCCCAACACTCAGGAGGCAGAGGCAGGAAGATCAATATGAGTTCCTTATCTATATATCAAGTTCCAGGACAGCCAGGAATACATAGAGAGATCCTGTCTCAGGCCGGGTGTGTGTGAAATTATACAAAAATTATACCTTGTGAAAGTATATAAGAGAACAGTGAAAAGCAGAAAGCAATGTATAAGACTGAAAATATTTTATTATACTGGTAAGCATGCACACATATATATATACTGGTATGCATGCACACATATATACATATATACATATACATACATATATATATTTTATATATATATGTGAAAGCAAAGGGAAAAGTAAAGTTTTTTTTCCTTTTTGTAACAGGGTCCCATATAGTCTAGTCTAGTCTAGTTCTCACTAGATAGCACAGGCCAGCCCTTAACTTATGATCTTCCTGCCCTCACTAGGATTACAGGTGTGAGCCACTTTACCTGGTTAAAACTTTCTTAAAGTAAAACTATTGCCATGTCATACATCTATAAGTGAGCTATTCCATTCATACCCCTTTAAAATGTATACTAAGAAACCTTATTATGCAAAAAAGGCTGATTTCACCCAATTAAATTAGAACCCTTGATTAGTAGGACTAGTTTTTATCCTTGATTTAAAGAGAAAAGTAGACTAAAACAGGTTTGCAGACATAAATGAGATGCATGCTTTCAGATTACGTTTTAACTGACTGTCAATCAACCCGATCTCCTAGACCCTTGAAGTAGACCCTAAAGCACAAAGTATTTATGTACACTCCAGAAACTTTGATCATCTAGGACTCAATTATATTCACCACTCTGTACTTCCTAAGGCACGATAGAAGCTCATGCATTTCAAAAAGATGTTTCATGGCAAGTGTTGAACTATGGGTATTAGGTTAATTTCTAGTTAACCAGAAAATCTAGTTAACTGGAATAACTTGTCCCCTGAACAGTCCTATATAATAAGTTTTGATTATTCTTTGGTTTCTGAAATTATTGTCCAAATTCTTCCTATTAATAGTGCATGGTGGAAAAAAATATTTCTATAGTCACACTGCTTAGGGACAGTCTGATTGTCCTCAGCTTTAAAAAAAAGCGACAGAAAGCAAACATTCTTTGTGTTTGACTTTGACCCTTTGAGATGCTGCATGACAGGATAAGCTGGGTTATAGAGAAAATAGAATTTGGGGGGCTTGTGGTTTCTATTTATGGCTGTATTAGTGTTATAAGTTTCATTTTGAAGAAGTATGGATTAGGCATTAAAAATTAATTTATCTTTATTTGTTTTCCAGATTAATGACCCTTCTAAAATAGAAAATTAAATCAAGATTTAGTTATTTCATCTGAAAAAGCTAATTGAACCACATATTTATGAAATTAGATGTGGAGAAGTGAACTGCCACCACCCACTCAACTACAACAAGAATGTTTTTCCACTTCTGAGACAGCATAAGAGAGGAGAAATTAATATGCATGTGGCACATCTTCCATCTCCCTTCTCCAGTCTGCTGGTGCCTGTTGATGAGTCTGGAATTTTTCTTTCTTTCTGATAATGGTATAAACTGGCAAATACCTAAGAGAACCAGAGGCCAATGAGAGGTGAGGTAATGTGGATTACATTTTATAGGGTTTTTTTTTTAATGTCAGTTTTTAGTTTATTAACATTTACATGAAAATAAATTAAAAGACAATTATTTCTAAAGTATATGACAAATCCAGGCATTGTGGCACATGCCTGTAGTCCTCATGCTTGATAAGCTAATGCAGAAGAATCTTGAGTTTGGGCTCAGCCAGAGCTGGGCAGTGGGACAGAGCACGTAGTAACTCGGCTGCTGCAGCCTCCCCTTCCCTGTGTATGCAGCCACAATCTTCCTCCCAGCACATCAGCAGCACTTCAGAAATGCAAGTCCTGTGCACAAGTGCCCTCAGATCTGTGCTTGCTGCAGGCTTGCTGGGGTGTCCTCTGCCAAATCGAATCCCATGCAGAAGGAAGCCCAGAGTCAGTTGGGGAATACAGCAGTTATGTTTGTCACGGTTCTGGTTTTTCTAACACACACATACCTGACAGAAGCCACCAAAGGAGAGAGAAGTCTACTGTGGCTCATAGTTCAGAAGATTATCCATGGTGGCAGGGAAATCATATCAAAAGGCTGGAGGCTTCGTACAGCTGGAGCTTACAGGGTGGCCTGCTGCATCTTCCAGGTCAGCAAGCAGTGATACTGGGCAGGACCAAGCTCACACCCTAAATTCAGCCTCCATGGAACTATGTCTGCCAATGAGGCCCCATCCAAACGACTCCACAGCCTCCAAACATCACCAACAGCTGGGAGCCAAATGCTGAAGCACAAGGGCCCATGGGAGACATTTTCACTCAAGCTGGGATAGGACTATTGACAAAATAATCTCAAATATGTGTTGAAACAACCTCTCTCCCTTCGGTAATAATTTCCATCCTAATTCAAAGCTGGATTCACAAGACTGAGTGGTTTTATGACCTCACTTCTTCTTAACTGAAGTCTTTGGATGAACGCTCCAGAACTGTCCCTTTAATGCACAGGGAAGGTTTGCAGCATCGTGCTCTCCCGTCTTTCCTTCTGCACCCAAACAGCAGTACCCCACGCCCTCCTTATGTTATTGCCGTAAAAATTACCTTAATTTTAGCCACTTCAAAAACAATAACAAAACACAAAACAAAACATTTTTTTATCCTCTGCAGGTTCAGAGGGCTTGACTGGGCACTGTATTGATATCAGCAGGCTAACTTCAGACTACCAGAGAGAACTCTTGTCTGGAATCTCTGAGGGGGAATCTGTTTTAGGCTCTGTGCTGGCTAGTTTTATGTCAGCTTGACACAAGCTTATAGCCATCTGAGAGGTGGGAACTTCAGTTGAGCCTCCATAAAATTGGGCCATAGTCATGCTTGTAGAGCGTTTTCTTAATTAGTGATTGATGTGGGAGGGCCCAGCCCATTGTGGGTGGGGCATCCCTGCGTTCTATAAGAGAGCAGGCTGAGTAAGCCATGAGCATCAAGCCAGTAAGTGGCATTACTCCATGGCCTCTGCATCAGTTCCTGCCTCCAGGTTCCTGCCCTGTTTGAGTTCCTGTCCTGACTTCCTTCAATGATGAACATTGATGTGAAAGAGTAAGCCAAATAAATCCCTCTCTCTCCAAGCTGCTTTGGTCATGGTGTTTGTTTGTTTTGGTTTTTCGAGACAGGGTTTCTCTATGTAGCTTTGAGCCTTTCCTGGATCTTGTTCTGTAGACCAGGTTGGCCTCGAACTCACAGAGATCCACCCGGCTCTGCCTCCCAAGTGCTGGGATTAAAGGCATGTGCCACCACCACCCGGCAGTCATGGTGTTTTAATCACAGCAATAGTAACCCTAAGACAGACTCATTCAAGCCATTGGAAGAACTCAGTTCCAGGGTGACAGAAAGAGGGAGGTTCCTGTTCCCTTGCCACAGGGGTTGTCATCACCCAGAGGGTGTCTCTTGGCAGCTCCCCTTGACCTTCACAGACAGCAGTGGATCAAATCCCCATGGCTCACTTTCTCTGACCTCCTTCACCTCGTCTGCCTGGCTTTTCTTCTGCTGCATCACTCCGCCCTCCTTTCCTATGTTTAAGGGCTCAGGCAATTACTTGGACCAACCTGGCAATCTAGATAATCTCTTTATTAGTATTCCACTTGTGATGTTTCTTCACAACAACCCACAGCTTAGCAGGTGAGTAAATAGGAAAAAAGTATGATTCTGTATTCCACAGCCCTAAATCTTCCTCTCTATACTTCTGTGGAATCCAGTCCTAGGGTGAGATTCAGTCCCTTCTCTCTCCCTTGTTCCTTTCCTCCCTCTCTCCCTCCTCCCTTTCTCCTTCCACCCCCACCACTCTCTCCCTCTGACTCACCATCCCTCCAACCCCTGCTCAGGCTGGTCTTGAACTTATCATGTAGGCCAATCTATCCTAAAAGTCATAACTTTCCTACTTTAGTCTCCCCAGAGCTGGATTACAGATATGGGCCACAATTCCTTCTAAAACAAGGCAAAACACAAACTTGATTTTTTTGGTTTTTTTTTTTTTAATTTTTATTTTTATTCATCTATACCTCTACTTTTTTTCTTTTATTTATTTTATTTTACAATACTATTCAGTACTACATAACAGCCACAGATTTCCTTGTTCTCCCCCTTCCTGCCCCCCTCCCCTTCCCCCCAGCCCACCCCCCTTTCCCACCACCTCCAGATCAAGGCCACCCCCGAGGACTGAGATCAACCTGGTAGACTCAGTCCAGGCAGGTCCAGTCCCCTCCTCCCA